TTAGATTTGGGTCTGGTTTAAAGTTACGGGTCCAGTCGACCCGAATTAGCTCGCAGGTCACCGAACCCATCGAAGAAGAAAACCAGACTTTTGGCCGAGGAAATTTCCCAAGCTTTGGTGGAGCTCGATTCCTAACTATTTTTTCAGAGATTTTATGTCAAAATAAAGCTAAAGCAAAGAGAAGTAAGGATTTACCAATTCCATGACTAGCCGTGGCTGGAAAGTGGCTAGGAATACCCTACAAGAATCCTTAAAACTTTTAAAAATTCACCCTATAACGCAAACCAAGAAGGCTTAAGGTGATCTATGAACTTACCTTTGTCGGAGATGGTGAGAACTCATCGGAGTAGGATTCAAAATAGTAGGGGTACCGCTGTGTAGAGAAGGAATGAGAGGGAGAGACCTTTGTCGATTAGAGATTCCAATGAAGAGGTCTCGAGGGTGGTTGCCATCTCTTGCTTGCTAACAAGCCCTTCTATTCCTCAAGTCCCTATGGAAGTTCCTTGTGTGACCCATGATGAGGATGGTCCAGTCGTCACTGCGATGCTCATGTACGTGTGTGTGTGTGTTCACAGAGAATAAAAAAGAGAGAGAACTGAGATGAAAGATGAGAGCTGAAGTAGTTTAAGGGAATAAGGGTGATGGTGGTGAGGTAGTTGCTATTGTTGTATGTTTGTATGTGTGTGTGTGATGCTCGGGAGTGGAGAAGAGAGTGAAGGAAGAGCTGAGAAAGTTCTAAAGAGAGTGAATAGAGAGAGAGAGAGAGAGAGAGAAGCTTACAGGATAAAAAGAAGAATGAGAGAGTTCTAGAGAGAGAGATAGAGATGTCATAGGACTTAAAGAAACACCCTAGAAAATGGGGGAAGAAACTGCCACATGTCACCATCCCAGTGGTCCATGACAGGGAAATATCTTCCATTGTAAAATTACCAAAATATATGTATCCTTCCTAGTCCCATAAAACCTTCATTTTAGCTCCAATTTCGATTCCACAAGCGTCCACACGTTCGTAGCAACGAGTGTTACAAGGGTACGCCAATGGAATGAATCTCACGTGACATGGCAAGGCGATCACCAAAGTCAAAGTTTTGCCTCGAAAGGCATTTTCGTAAACATCTTAAAATTATAAAAACCGTGATAATTAGGGAGGGGTCGTTACAAGTATCAAAGAAAAAAGAAGCACTTAAGGTAATTTCCAACCGAAAGAGCTAAAACATAGCCCCATCTAGAATTATAACCTTGTAAAAAAATAATTTTTTAAATAAATAGTGTCAGGTCAGACTCATATACCATCTCCAACCGAATAGGCTAAACATAACCCCTCAATAATTTATTAGTTAATTTAATTAAACTACTGTTGGATGTTTACAAATCTAACCGTTGAATTTCTATCAATTATTGCAACTGAAAAGCTGGGTCTTGTAAAAAGGCTAAGAGGAGGGCTACATTTGGCCAACCTGATGACCCTTTGGCCAAATAATGGCCTAGAGGGTTTTGTAAAATTATAACCCAGCCACTCGATTGGAGATGAGTTTTTCGGCAAATCAGGCTTTTTTTTTATTTTTTTATTTTATTTTTATTTTTATTTTTTTAGAACTTTAGTTCCTTTATTGGAGATGGCCCCTCTATTGGAGAATACGAAAAGGAATAGAAACATATGGCCATTTTGATCACATTACACCAACAGAGCAAGATCAATGTACCATTTAGAACTTTATTGTTTTCTTTTATCGTTTATTAATATTATTTTTGATCTAGTTATAATTTCCATTAACATAATTCTTTTTTCTTTTATTTATTGAGCTTAGCTAGAGGTGGATATGTGCTTGACAACTCACAAACATATGTGCTTGATAACTCACAAACATATTACAGAGATTTCACATATTTTTAAATTGTATTTTACCTTATAATTATGGATGGTAACTAATTACATGAAAATTTAATGTATTTATTTACCATCCATAATTATAAGGTAAAATACAAGGTAATGGCATGAAAATATCATTTAATTATTTAAATTATTATTGTCTCACTCTTTATTTGACGTTTGAGTTCTCACAATTTCTAATTTTTTTTGTTTTTTAAGAAATGGGTCCCATCTTGTATTGAAGTCTTCTACAATCTGAGGCTTTCATGTGGGCTTCATCTTGTATTGAAGTCTTCTACCATTTGAGTTTTTTCATGAACATATTTATTTCTTTTTTATTTTTTAATGAAGTAGGCCTCAGCTTATATTGAAGATGGGATGAAAACACAACATGTCTAGCGAGTCTTGCTAGACTTGCTTTGCTAGTGAGTCCGGCTAGCAATTCCCATTGTTTAAAGATAAATGCTAAGGAGACTGCATTTTAGACAACTTTCCAAAGTCTCTCCCTCTTCTCTCCCTCGCCAAGGTCTATACACACAACATCTGGTTCCAGTCGCAAGCCCTCTCTTGGTTGGGGTCGGTAGCAACCTTTAAATTTACATTTCCTGCAACTCTAGACTTTCCTTACTTTCCTTGCTTTACTTTTGGTCCTTGTATCTGGTGATTTTGCATCTAAGGTCAATCTCAGTTTCCTTGAGCTCTGTCTTAGTTTCCCTGGGCTGTGTCTTAGTTTGTCGTTGTTCTTGTCTCAGATTCGAGATTCATGCTTTTTTCCACTCCAATGGTTGTTCCTAGTTGCAAGTCACCTTCTCAACCTCAGCCACTTAACTCATCTTGTGTTTCCTCCATCGATGTCATTAGGAGACATACTTTGGGTTTGTGTGGCTCTAAGGTATGGTTTGGCATTGAGGTGCTTAAAAAAAAATATGCTTATTTTCAAAGTTTTTATGTTGAAGGTGTTTGGTAAACTTAAAAAAAAAAAGGATTATTTTGGAAGTTACTATGAGAATAAGCTGAAATCATGAGAAAAGCTGAAGTAGCTAAATGCTGCTTTGGAAAACTGGCTTTTTTTCAAAGCACGCAGAGCTACAGTGCTCCCTTAATGAAACTTTCTAAAGTCCAATAACACCCTCAAACCAGAAACGATGCTCCTTTGCCGATCTCCACAAAACCCAAAAACGGATTTGCCGATTTGCACAAGAAATGGAAACATAGAAACCCTCCAGACTACCACAGCCAAAACCGATAATCGCAAAATAAAAAGAAGCATAAAACTCTCATTTTTCCTCTGTTACTTCAAAATCTGCAGACAAAAAGAACAACAACAATTCAATTTCTCCTTCTCCAAAGTTTACAACTTTGAATTTGTTTCAAATCAGAAAAAAGAAAACGAGGAGGAGATGGAAGAGATAACCTTGAGTCACTGCTTGCAGAAGGAACAGAGGCTGGATTGGAGACAGCGGGAAGAAGAGGATTGAGTCATTGCCTTCGTTATCCATCTTCAATTTCTTCTTCTTCAAAGTTTACAACTTGGAGACAACGAGAGGAAGAGAGGCTGGATTGGAGATAGTGAGAAGTGAAGCAAGGCTGGACTTGAGTCACTGCTCCAATGGTAGTTACCATGTCGGCTAGATGAAGAAGAAGGAGGAAACTAAAAAAATGAAGAAGAAGCAAAAGTAGAGAAAAAAAATAAAGATAAAAAATTGGGGAGTAGGGGAGAGTCGGGAGACTTCTACATAGATTATTAACAAATGAAGATGGATAAAACAAAGATAAGAGACTTCTAGAGACACTATTAATAAATAAAAGACATGGATTATTAATAAATGAAGATGAATAAAAGAAAGATAGGGCTGGTTTATTATTTTACATTTAACATTATACTTATTTTATACCTTTTTTGATCATTTCACATAGTCACAGCTGTTTTACATAAAAGTTTACCAAACACTATCATACTGCTTTTTTTTTTTTTTTTTTTTTTTTTCCAAAAGCACTTTTACAAAAAAATTTACCAAACACTTTGCTACTTTATTTCATAGTTGCTTATTCTCACAGTACAACAAGCAATTTTTTTCCAAAGCACAACAATATCAAACCAGCCCTTAAAGTATTTTTAGCGCTATTTGGTATGACTATGGGAGCGCTCATAGCACGAGTGGTTTTCCGCCCCTATTTTCTGTTTCATCTAGTTGGTTTGTTAGGCCTTCTTCTCGATGACAGCATGGTGGTGTGGCTACTTGGGTGGCAGCGGCTGGTCCCTCTTTCCAGATCTAGGTTTTATGTTTTAGTGTGTTATAGGCTCTCCTGTTGGGCTTTTTCCCCTGTACTTTATTTGTTTGTACTTTTGCTTGCTTGGTTGTTTTGGTTTGTGTACGGACTTTCCTAACCTTGTATTAGCCTTTGTTTAATGAATTTCACTTATTTTGATATAAAAAAAATGTTAAGGAGATTCTCTCAAGGTGAAGCTCTTGGACTCTCGCCATCTCATATTTTTAGTATAATGTTTTATAATGTTGACACAAGAGTTGTGCCAAAATATAAGGTAATGGAGAGTCTATAGAGAGTTCCACATTTGATAGAGTCTTGTTAGCATTTCTCTTGTTTAAAAATGGGAAAAATATAGTAATGAATCTATATTTATCATAATTCATTACTCTACTACCGCTTACTTCAGAGTTTTCACTTGCAGTATATTTTTGTCTTAACAAGAAATAATGATGAGACTTTCTCAAAAGTGGAATTCTTCATAGATTCTTTGTCACCCCATATTTTTGGCACAATGTTTTATAATGATGGTACGAAAATTGTTATTAAACTATGAAGTAGCAGAGAATCTATGGAAAATCCACTTTGAGAAAGTCTTCTTAGCATTTCTCTTTGTTTTAAAATAAATATGTAAGAGAGTCTTATTAACATTTCTCTCTGCCTTAGGATTCTCTTTATTCTCCTTCTATTTATACAGACACGAATAAGCCATATAAAAATAGGAAAACTAATGAAAAGTGCTTAAAAACTTTGAATTTTAACTATAAGGACAAAATAAAGAGTAAAGTGAATAGTAATATGATTGACTTTTTAGTGTAAAAATATGATTTTTCGTTAAAGTGAACAGTACTGTAGGTTTTTCGTTAAAACTCTCTATAAAAATATCTTATATAAGACAAAATAAATAGTGTGAAAAGAGAAGAAGGAAATCATAAGGGGGAGAATTCTATCCTTTTTTATTTACCGCTGCACAGATCCCTTCAGCTTCCCCGCCCATCCGCTATTTTCCTGATCACTTTTGAAAGCAAAAGATCAAAAAATAAACAAAATAAAAAAAATTTAAAAATTTAAAATCCATGATCATATTGGATAATGTTAAGAGATTAAATTTACAAATTAAATGATATGTCACTAATAAACATGTTTATCAACGTTTTCAAAATTTTATCTATAAATTTAGTATTTCTAATATTATCTTTATCTTATTAGAAGAAGAAAACAGAAAGTTCCCGATCATGCATGTCGATACAAACCAAGAACTTCCATCCCACACACGTCGCCATTTCTCCATTCCTCTTTTGGCTCGTCCTCAAATTGTTGTAAGTCGACTCGAAACAACTCAAACTTACCCATTTGGAACTTCTCCACCGTAACCCCAATGGAGAAATCTGGGTACGGCAGAGATGGCATTTTCCGGTCACTCCGGCCGCCGCTTGTCCTGCCCAGAGACCCAAATCTCTCAATGGCCTCCTTCCTCTTCAGAAACTCCTCCTCTTACTCCCACAAGCCAGCCCTCATCGAAGGCGAGTCCTCCGAAACCCTTTCCTTCTCACAGTTCAAGTCCAAAGTTATCCAGGTCTCCCATGGCTTAATCCATCTGGGAATCAAGAAAAACGACGTGGTCCTCATTCTCGCCCCCAACTCAATCCAATTCCCCATTTGTTTCCTCGGGATTATTGCGTCCGGCGGTATTGCCACCACCTCCAATCCCCTCTACACTGTTTCAGAGCTGTCCAAGCAAGTCCGGGACTCTAATCCTAAGCTGGTTATAACACTCCCGGAGCTCTGGGATAAAGTCAAGGGCTTTAATCTCCCAACAGTGTTCTTAGTGTCAAAGGGCTTATCGGGGAAATCCCACGTTGGATCAACCTCAAAGATTCTAACTTTCCATGACTTGGTCGAATCTGCTCGGTCTGTGTCCGATTTTCCATCGGTTAACATTAAGCAGACCGACACAGCTGCCCTGTTGTACTCTTCAGGTACAACAGGGGACAGCAAAGGGGTAGTTTTGACACATAAAAATTTCATTGCCTCGTCTCTAATGATCACAATGGATCAAGAACTTGCTGGGGAGATGCACCATGTGTTTCTCTGTGTTCTGCCAATGTTCCATGTGTTTGGGCTGGCAATTATCACCTGTGCGCAGCTGCAGAAGGGCAATGCTGTGGTGTCGATGGCGAGATTTGATCTCGAGAAGACTTTGATGGCTATTGAGAAGTATAAGGTGACACACTTTTGGGTTGTGCCTCCTATAGTGCTTGCCCTGGCGAAAAACAGTATGGTTAAGAAGTTTAACCTTTCGTCGTTGAAGCATATCTGTTCAGGGGCAGCTCCCTTGGGGAAAGAGTTGATGGAGGAGTGTGCAAAAAAATTTCCTCAAGGTGTAGTAGCTCAGGTACTTAATTATCATGCTTGTTTTGATTGTTTTTAACTTGTAAGTGTGATTAATTCGAATGGTTCGGTTATTTGATGATATCGACATTGTGTTTAGAGTTTGGTATTTGATTGAACCAAATGGCTATAGGCTACATTTTCTTGAACTAAATGCAAATTTTCAAGCAGTCATGGGTTAGGCGAGTTGGCTAAGGCACACACCTTTCTGCACCCAAGTTCGAATCCCCCTTTCATAGATTATAGTAGTTTAGAATATGGTTTGTCAACGATGAAAAAGGTGCAAGTTTCTAATGTGTGTGAAATATTGGAAAAATTCAAGTTAGAAGTAATTGAAAGTGGACGGCTACTTAACCCAAAATTCAATTCATGTGAGCTGAGAAAATTGGGTGCGGTAGAGGTTTTGAACCGAGTTTTGCAAAGTTAAGGTTTTTTCATGTAGTAGCTAGGAGGATAAAACTTCCTCACTGATTTGGAAGTTTCCTTGTTTTTCAGGGATATGGTATGACAGAAAGCTGTGGAACTATTTCGGTGGACTGTACGCTGGCAGGGACTCAACATACTGGTTCAACTGGTATGCTTGTTTCAGGAGTTGAATGTCAGATAGTCAGTGTAGATACACAGAAGCCTCAACCTCCTAAACAGTTGGGAGAGATATGGGTTAGGGGCCCTAGTATGATGGCTGGTAAGTGTGTTTGTCAACATTCAAAAATGGTCTTGCACACATGACCATATTAACCGTCTCACAGAAAGAAAATATTCTGCATTTTTTATAAGAGAAGTCACATTACTTACGACGGTCCTGCAATTTAATTTGACAGTTCATGGTATCTGAGGTTTATGATTATGATTTTCAGCATCCTCATTAATTATTAAGATGCAAAGCTCTATTGATGATGCTTTGTTCATCCCAAGCAGGGCATTGCATTTGCCATATAATAGCATACATCAGCACTGGAGACTCTTCTCCATAAGGATCATGTTCTCTTCCCGCAAAATGTTCACTCTTTTCCTCGCCGAAGAGTTGATGCGCAATGCTTCCAAATGTTTCCATCGTGTAAATTTAAGTTGGGTCTGCTGGCTTTAACTAAATACAATGCAATAATAACAATAACAATAACAGAACCATGCAGTAATTTATTTTCGATCTGAATTTCAGTTACCTCGTCGCTTATCTTGTTTAGCTTTGGAATGTTCTTCCTTTCTGTTTCATTGAGAACTGTCAGTTAAGGATGCCTCGGGTCAGTATAATCTTCAAATATAACAAGCCTGCAAACCTTTGCTGCCTATTTGGTTAAGTCTAATTGGTTTGCCTCTTGTGCAGATACTAGTAAGATATTTGTTCGAGTTTATTTAGCGTTTCGTAGGTTTTTGCTATAATCATTCATATGATAACACCATGATTGTTAAACTCATTTCAGGGTATTTCAACAACCCGGAGGCCACCAACGAGACTATAGATAAAAATGGTTGGGTACATACAGGAGATATTGGATACATTGATGAAAACGGACTACTTTATGTAGTTGATCGAATCAAAGAGCTTATTAAGTATAAAGGTTTCCAGGTAAATTATTTTGCTAGAGTTTGTACAATTGCTACATGAAATTTCTGCTGGTTGTCCCTGCAAATTTTGTAGCTATTTTTTTATGCATTACAAAACACTGCCATGCTAGTTTTCCTTTAACGTAATTGTCTCTGCAACTAGAAGTTAATTAATATCTTTCTGTTTGCTTTTTTTCGGAATGGATACATACGCTCTCCGCATATGTATTTCTATTCAATCATCCTTTCGTTGTTCTCTCGGTCCTTGGGCCTCTACTAGGTGGCACCAGCTGAACTTGAAGGGCTGCTAGTTTCTCACCCAGAAATATTAGATTCAGTTGTCATCCCGTAAGTTTGACACAAACAAAATTTGTCCTGACCGCCTCATGTTGAACTTAATTTTACGATGGGTTTATTTTCGTCCTGCAGGCTTCCTGATGCTGAAGCTGGTGAGGTCCCCGTTGCATATTGCGTACGCACGCCAAATAGTTCTCTGACTGAAGAAGATGTCAAGAGCTTTATTGCTAATCAGGTAAGTAGGAAATATCAAAGAAGGATTATTTGGAATCCAAATCGATTTCCTTGATAACGAAATTGCTCTTGTGGCAGGTTGCATCTTTCAAACGACTACGAAGAGTAACATTCATAAAGAGTGTCCCCAAGTCAGCATCAGGCAAAATCCTCAGAAGAGAGCTCATCGAGAAAGTGCGGTCGAAAATATGAAATTGTATCATGGACCTCCTCATTGATCTAATGTTTCCTTCTATCTGGAAGACTAGTTTGTAGAGGAACACTATATGTTCCATATCGAGTATACATACTTTTCGGTGATCCCATCTCCAACACCTGTGTCTGCAAGCGTGCGCTGTCCGATGCAACAAACGCACACTAAAAGAATAACTTTACAATGGATCTATGTAAGGAAAAAAAACATGCTGCATATGTACATTCATGATAAAAATAAAAATACAACCAAAAAATTGTTCAATTTAGTCGCAGCAGAAATATTCTTTTTTACCGTAAATTTGACGGAAAGAATCAATGATTTTTTTTTTTTTAATCCTAACTCATTTCAATCGTTAGTTGAAGCACAGTTATTACTACTAACTAATTCTCCCTTATGGTTAAGTTTTTTGAATTTTCCATCCAACATTCCATTAACTTTTGCCGCCTTTACAACTTCAAAGAGTAGAAAAATCATTTTTTCTCAATTCATATATTTTTTTTTCCTTTCTTTAAATTTTTACTCTCTCTCTCTCTCTCTAAAACTCTCTTACACGGTCAGGCCATGGACGAGACCTTTATCATTTCCAAACTTGAACGCCCGTCCTCAAACAATCAACCAGATCGGTGAAATCGGATCCCAAATTTGTGTTACGTGTGAAAAAAAGAGGGTGTTGATCGAGAATTTGGGTCTCTGGTGGGAGAAATTGTGAAGTTCGTGAAATGTGCGGCCATGGATTTAAGGCTAGTGGAAGAGGAGCCTTTGCCAACCAAATACGTAGGGTAAAATCGCAAGATGATAAATCTTTATTTTTGCATTGTTATCAGTGTGGAAATGATGGAAGTCTCCTCCATGGCCTGGTCGTTGATGAGTGGAGAGAGAGAGAGAGAGAGAGAGAGAGAGAGAGTAAACGTTTAAATTTAGAAAAAGAAAACTATGCTAAAATAAGCAAATTGACTTTTTACCCTTTGGAGCAGCAAAGGGTGATAGAGGTTAGCAAAATGTAGGATGGAAAATTCAGAAACTTAACAATAGGGGAAAATTGACTAATTATAAGAGTTTATGGGATAATTGGTGGAAATAAAGTGTATGGGAATATCGGCCAACCTTTACTAGTTCAAAAGGGAAATTGGTCAATACTTCTTTTATTGAAGTATAAATGGTTTTGCTAATTTCTTAGAGTTCAAGAAAGTTAAATGGTAGTTGAGTGCGTAGTTGTTATTTTGTCACATAGTCTCATAGGACATGTGGATTAATTAAGTTCATATATATATATATATATATTTAATGGAATTAATTTCATATTTTGTATATGTGGTACAAGAGTCATAGCTCTATTACTAGTCTTGGTCTTATAGAGAGATCAAATGTAAGGCTGAGGTTGTACAAAATGAGAGAGCGAGATTTCTCTTTATGTATTGGTTGATGAGCTCATTGGTGAGAAATGAATAGACATTCTCTAAAAATTCTCTATGTCATTCTTCTTCATTCCTCCTCGAAATCCAAAAGGGGAAATTTCTCCAAGCTTTATTCTATCTCTATGAAAAATAAAATACAAACACACAAATAATATACACTTTAGCATGGCCTCAAAGCCGGGTTCCATCGGTTAATTGGGCATGGAATCTGTGCGATTTCTGATTGAAACAAAGAAGTGAATCAAACCTAGTAAAGCTCGTGTTTCTTTAGCTATGTGTCTCACATGGCAGGATCTAGCAGTAGCGAGTTCCGTGCACTAACTACTTATGGCGAAAACTATGAATTTTGGAGGATTAGGATGAGAACAATACTTAAATGTCATGGGCTATGGGATCTTGTTGAAAAAAGGCTTGAAATTCCAAAATCTAAAAAAAAGTGAAGGATGAACTCATTGTTGAAATTACAGAAAACAAAGAAGGATAATGAATAAATTGTAGTTGCAGTGAAGACTTCTTTGAGTGAAAGATTGATGAAGGATGCAAAGGCATTAGGCCTGATTCAAAGGGCTGTCTTAGACGAAATCTTCCTCAAAATCTCCAATGAATAGATTTCGAATAGAGCTTGGGACATTTTGCAACAAGAGTTCAAAGGAGATAAGCAAACTAGAGGTGTAAAATTGCAAGGTTTGTGTTTAGATTTTGAATAAACTCGTATGCGTGATGATGAAGCTTTATCTATTTATTTTACTCCATTATTTGATCTCATAAACCAAATGAAAAGCTATATACAAGAGATTCCTAGAAAGGAATGTACAAAAATTGTTAATTAGTTTACCCATATCTTATGATTCAATATGCCTAGTGATTGAACATTCAAAGAACCTAGATACTATAGAGGTATAATAGGTTGTTGCCTTATTGAAAGATTTTGAACAGAGGATAGATAGGCACACTGAAAATCACACTGAGAGAGCATTTTCAAGCCTCAGTGTGACTCCCAAACACAATAAGTTTGGTAACCGTCTAAGTCAATACAAGGCACAGAAGAACTAAAAGACAAAAGAAATGAAATGGGAGAACAAACCTATTCAACAACAAAAGCAAAATATTGCAACCGATGCAACTAAAAACCCTTGGAAATATTGTGATAAGTTACACTTTGCATAACGTCAATTTAAAAGCAAATACATGTCAAAATTGTGATTGAAAGAATCGAAGTATAGGTTTGAGAATCATATTGCATAAGCTCAACTCAATTAATTTGAGTGAAGCTTTGACTTCATTTATATAGAGTTTTCATACAAGAGGTTGTTACATATTTGTTATCCATACAAATATTCATAATACAAGACCTATAACATATTACAATAGATAAAGATATGCTATAATCTCTGAGGTTGTGATAAGCTTGGACTGATATTCAAAGGGCTGGAACAGTTTGAAGTGGTAGGAGTTTGAGTTTCAAATGCAGATGAGTCAACTTGCTGAGTTGGCATGATCTGCGACTTGGATTGCTGACTAGGTTTATCACTCCCCCGCAAGCTCAATGGGCATTGTCGAATAAGAAGCTTAGAGAGAATGAATGAAAAACGAGAGGGTGACAACCCTTTGGTTAGTAAGTCTGCAAGTTGATCAGCTGTGGCAACATACCCAAATTCGATCTCCTTGTGAACCACTTTTTCCTTGATGTAAGGATAATCAACTTCAATGTGACGTATGCATGCTTGATAGACAGGATTAGAGGCAACAGCCAAGGCACTGATGTTATCACACCATAAATGTGGAGGGGCGACCGGAAGGTGAAGATCACGGAAGAGATGTCGAATCCATGACAATGTCACCAAGGTATAAGCCATTTGATGATATTCGGCTTCGGTACTGGATCCAGAGACACTTCGCTACTTTTTAGAACTCCAAGAGATAAGATTGGCACCTAGAAAAATGTAATATCCACCGGTGGAACGATAATTATCTAGATCACCAGCATCGACGAAAGATGTTAGAGCCAAGGAACTAGGCTTGTAAACAAGACTGTGATCATGAGTTCCTTTTAAATAACGAAGTATACGCTTGACTGTTGCCCAATGAATTGTAGTAGGAAAGTGCATGTACTGGTAAACCTGATTAACTGCAAATGCAATGTCGAGACAGGTGAACATAAGGTATTGAAGAGTGTCGACCACACTTTGAAAACTTGTACCATCCCAGAGAGGCTCACCTTTATGTAAACTGAGTTTGCATCCCGGAGCTGCATGTGTGGTCAGTAGCTTTGCATCAGCCATGTTGGTTTTCTTAAGAAGATCAAGAATGTACTTGGATTGAGACAAATACATGGCATGAGTAGTACGCTTGATTTCAATGCCGAGAAAATAATTTAAGGGTCCCAAATCCTTCATGGAGAACATGTTGCCGAGTTAAGTGACAAAAGATGAAATTTGTAAGCCATTGTTGCCTGTGATGAGAATGTCATCAACATAGATTAATAAATAAACCACAGTTTTACCATTGAAGTAGGTAAAAATAGATAGGTCAACAACTGAAGCAATGAATCCCAGGGCTTCAAGATGATGGGAGAAACACTAGAACTAGGCACGTGGTACCTGTTTTAACCCATAAAGTGATTTACGTAATCGACAAACATGCGAAGGAAACTGAGGATCAACAAAACCTCCAGGTTGACGCATATAAACTTCCTCAGCTAATGTGCCATGAAGAAAGGCATTTTGTACGTCCAATTGTCGGATTGGCCACTGGAAATGAAGAGTAATGGACAAGATGATGTGAATAGTTGGATAAGTCACGACATGACTAAATGTCTCGCTGTAATCAAGTCCTACTTGCTGATGAAAACCATTTGCAACAAGGCAAGCTTTAAATCTCTCAATGGAACCATCGAACTTTCGTTTAATTTTATACACCCATTTATTTAGCAGCACATTCATTGAACGATGATAGAGAACTAAGGTCCATGTACCAGTGCGTTGTATTGCATTGAATTCATCTGCCACAGCTGCCTTCCGTTTTGGGAATTGTTTTGCCTGAGAAAAACAGGTAGGCTCAACAATATCATGAGACAAAATAGTTCGAAATGCATACTTAGGGTTTGGTTTCTGTATGCCATCCATTGCTCGAGTTATCATACGATGACCATAAGTGGTAGGGTCAGAAAAGGAAGAATCCAAGGATAAACTTGCATTCACAAGTGAAGGTTCTAAAGTGGTAGGCGTTATGGGATGGGATGAAGGAGGAGTTGGGTGAGATATAGGCTATTGAGGCGTGAGGTTGGTGGAGGATAGAGTTATGGAGGGTGTTGATGGGCAAGGGGATATGGTGAGGATAAGACAGGTAAGGTATGGGAAGTTTGTGTAGGATTAGTAGACTGCGGCTGGTACGATGGGTGATAAGGAGGCAGTGGGTCAATGTTCAAGATAAGAGAGTACTCGGGAAGAGTCATAGGTGGAGCAAGAGTGGATTCTTTAAATGGCATACATTTTTCATCGAATAGTACATGGTATAAATGGAAAATACGACTTGTAAACATGACTAGACAGCGATACCCTTGTTGGTTTAAAGAATATCCTATGAAAACACATTTTTTGGATCAAAATTGAAGCTTGTTTGTGTTATAAGGACGATGGGAAGCAGGCACAACCAAAAACCTTTAAAAAAATCATATTAAGGAGGTTTGGAAAATAGTTTTTGAAAAGGACTCTCATCACCTAAAACATTGGTGGGTAATCCGTTAATCAAATAGTTGGCTGTGTGGAAAGCCTCGTCCCATAAGGACATTGGTATAGAAGCATGCGCAAGGAGAGTTAATCTTGTTTCGACTAAATGACGATGCTTTCTTTCATAAAT